CGAGTATTATGCTCCTTAATTCGTGTTTCCAAATGACGTTTGGTTTGCCCAATATAGCAGGAATCACAATCGTTACAAGAAATTTTATATACTACATTTGTTCTTTTACCGATAGGAAGTTTGTCTTTTCTTTTTTTAATTAATTTGTTCAATCTATTATTAACCGTATATAAAACTCTCAAGCCACTCCTATTTAATGTTCGTTGAACTTGATCACTCAATCCTTTTACAAAAGGGAAAATGACAATGTTGGAAGTGTCAAAGGAATTATTTCCCCTCAGTGGAAAATTATCTAATAATTTTAAATGTAGCAACTGCAATCTTTTATTCATAACTGAATTAATTAGACCCATAGAATAGCAATTATTAGTAAGAATTTGTTCTACTAACAAAATATTTTGCGCATGAAATCTACTATTAGACAAAATGACGGACCTATCAGTAAGACCAAGGATAGTACTAACTTTGTATTTGTAAGGATGATTGGAATGAAAATTAATGTATCTTCCCGAAAAGGAGGGTTTACGATACCAATTCGTAATTAATCTTTGGTTTTCCTTTATAATAGACGTATTAAGGAAATTAAAAAACAAAAAACATTGAAAAAAAATAAAGTATTAAAAATGAAAAAAAATGGGCAAAAAAAACTTAAAATAAAAATTGATGAAACAAAAAAGGTGGGGTCCAAAGTACTTTTCTCGCTATTCTCTATCGACTGGAATACATCTGTAGAGGTCGATTTTCCAGTACGCATAGCCTTCTGGAACTTAAAAAAATTTAGAAAAAAAGTAAAAATCGAGATATCGAAACGCCACCCGGCCCAAAATTCATTTCCTAAAAAATGACTCTCGACCCGAACAAAAAAATTTTTTCGAAAAAAAAAAAATTCGAGATATCGAAGCGCCACCTGGCCCAAAATTCGTTTCGTGAAAAATGACTCTCGATTTTGAAAAAAAAATTTCGAATTTTATGTATTTTTTTTTTTTAAGTCAGGAAATTTGCCTAAACCAAATTTCGCGTCCTGACTTCTGAGAGAGGGCCAGGAGGCTTCGTGGTGGATTCCTGCCCGAAGTATCCCGAAGGACTATCGGACGGGGTACCGACCTAAAACCTGACTATAGCCCCTGGTCGTTAACGGGTATTGTCCACCGCGGAACCGCTCACGCATTACTTCACGGTGGACACCCATGACCTGATCCTGTTAAGGATACATCCCCGGGCAACAAAGTTGCCCGTCCAATACTCTCACCCTGAGAGGGTAAATAGGAGTGAGCCGGGCTATCAGCTCACCCCCGGCCATCCCGAAGCCAACGTGCAATGGAATTGGAGTCCCCACTCCTCTTCCTGCCGGCCTGGTTGGCGAGGTGACCGCAGTCACCAAACCCCACATGAAAAGACGTCACATGACATCACAGACTCGACGTGTACACTACATGTATACACAACCACAATATAAAAACCAAATAAGGGCCACAGGCTCAGCCCTCTAAGGGGGCCAACAACAAGGGCGCAATGGCCAACAACAGAAAAAGTGGTGAGAGGTGTTCACACCACCCATTAACGTAAGACAAGAGAACTGGGACGACATAAACTTGGCGTAGGTGGAAAAGGCTGAGGAGTCATTTCTCGGCAACCTCCCCAGCACTCAATCACCCATCGCCGCTACCTACAACATAAACTTGGCGGGACAGAGGGACCACGAAGTCACCTTTCGGCTACCTCCCCGGAACCCTCATATCCCACCGCTACCTACTAACAGAAGAAAACGAAACAAAGACAGGGCGTAACCGGGCCAAAGGTCCCCATTTTACTGGGGAACAGCATGGCCGCAGCCCACATAACAACATTAGACAAACACTAATCAGACATCAATTCCGTCGGGGCGCAAAAGGAAGCCACAGATGCGCCTCTCGACACACTCTGCCGCCCCACTCCAACCCCCGAGGGGCCCGGTATTGGGCTAACAGCCTCGTTTCGAGACCCCCCGTCAGGGCGTCCCGGTGTCTGCCTGCGCCCGGAGGGAACTCCTTCCTTACCTCCATCCGTCCTACGAGGGGGCACAATCCTTTTAGCACAGGCACCCGAGCCTGCACGGTGGTTCGCCTGTCTCCCACCGATGCCACAGGACACACAGCGGGGCGGCGCCTCACATCTAGCCGCCAGATGCCCCTCCTTGCCGCACCTAAAGCAGCAAGCGCTGCGATCAATCTCCGAGCCACACCCATTGAACAAGTGTCCAAAGGCATGGCACCGAAAACACTGTATAGGCCGGCGAGCCAACGGAGTCACCGTCAGCCTAGTCCACTGCATATCGATGCTGCCCACAGTGCCCAATTTGCCTTGCAGCCCTAGCCGGACATCGGATCCAAAGCAACCCGACCCCGGACTTTGGGGACACGCGTATCTCCCCCGCTTTTAGATCGGTGACGCCACACTCGCCCGATGCCGCCACGGAGGCCAAAACCTCATCCCTCCGCATGTAGGGCAAGATCCCCCAAACTCGTATCTCCTCCATACGAGAGGGGCGACCAACCCTAATACCACTATCGGGCGGAAACAATCAGCGGAGCTCACCCGACAGAGCATCCGCCTTACTAGTAGAGTCCTTACCCGGGATGGTCACCAAAATACTGCCCGTCACACCTCGGCGCAATCGGGAGTTTACGATCCCCAAACTGGGCAGATCGATCTCCCTCATGGCCTCAGAGAGAACCGACGCGTACGTTTCCTCCTTTCCCTTCCCCTCAACCGTCAGCGAGACCACCGACTTAGAGGGGGGCCTGGGAGGAGGACAGACCCGCTTCTCCCCCCGAGCGGAAGTGCCCGAAGGAGCAGCTCCATCTTTAGAAGAGGCTCGTCTAGGCCCACGCCTACGACGACGCCTCCCACTCTTCTTCTTGGAGAATTCGGGACCAGAGACATCCGCCAAAACCTCCGCAGGAGCGGAAGCGGCAGAGCCCCCAGCCACGGGACCAGTCCCCGGCACACTAGCGCCACTACTCATGCTCGCCAAAGGCGCACCCATGGAAGCCCCTCCAATTGAAGAGGCTCCAGGCCGCCCCACAAGCAAAGATTCCATACGAGCCAGTACCGCCGACGTTATGTCCACTCTCAAGTTAGTCAGCCTCCTATCTAAGATGGCCGAGAGGTCCGCAACCGTAAGAGGGTGCGACCCCGGCAACACCTCTCGCTCCGCAACATCCCCAGTGGACTCCGGAGAGGACGCCACCCGCTGCCTCTTCTTTGGAGCCTTTTTCGAAGCCCCGCCAAAGAAGTACTCCTCATCCAGCCTCGGGAGAATAGCCCGAAAGGCAGCCATCTCGCCAGCCACCCTATCACGCTTTTGCTCAAGGGTTGAGATCTTCTCCCTAAGCCCCAGATTTTCGCTCCGAAGAGCTTCAATCTGGGGGTCCGCCTCGAGGACAATTCTTCCCTTCATCTCCTGGAAGATACTTTCCAACCTCATTGAGAAGATCCGGAGATCTCTGGCTACGATAGAATCGAGGCCACCAACCTCTGACGCTTTCTCCACCTGTGAGGCAGATAGCTCCGCCAGCCTCTCGAGTTCCAAATTGGTGACACTTTGTAACTTAGCCCGAAAAGCCTCGTCTGATGGGATATTTTCCCGACCCACAGCAGTCAGCTCAGGACCAAGGTCAGGATCCAGGAGCCTGCGGATGTCTGCCAATTGCAGCTCCCGCTCCACAGCCCAATTGAGGCGCTCCTTGGCCTCAGCCAAACCCGCGTAGTCACCAGTCTTTTTAGGGCGACCCCGCGTCTCAACCTTCGCTTTTGACCTACCTGGTTTCACCCTAAGGTTCCGCCTACGGCCAGACAGCAGCCTCTTATCCGAGGGCTGCCACTCTTCGTCCCTTCCAGGTGACTCCGGTGTACTGGGCGAGGAGACGGTAACGAAGGAGACCTCCATTTCAGGCTCCCCATCATCGCTCCCGCCACGGACCCTCTCCGGAGAGCGGAGGTACAGGGAGCAATTCTCCAGGTCCTCCATCAAACGCCTTTGGTCATTAATCCTCGCCTCCTCCCTGGACAAAAGTAGTCTGTTGTCCAGTTCCGCGAGTCTTTCACCAACCTCAGCAAGCCGCCCCTCTAGTGAGGCTATTTGCTCATTCCTCGGCACTGTAGCATTCCTATCCTCGGACCCAGCCGGCAAATCCGAGGACGACCCGTTGCTCGATGACGACATGGAGGGAGCCAGGCCTACACCCCCCCCCCACGCCGGTTCCTGGTTACCGACCCCAGGAAGTCTTCACTTTTCTCGTTGGACATATTCATTTGTAACAAGAAAATTGGTTTTTTCTGTCAGGGGTTTTCCTTCCCCTTAGGAGGTTGCCTTACTCAGCTAACGGGGCCTCCCCCCCCGGGTGTTAAGTCAGTGTTTTCCTTCACCTAGTGCAGTGGACAAGTCCTTTTTAGGGTCTGCACACCCATCACACCCCGTTCATCCATCACCATGCACTCCAGCTCGGGTACCTCGGGATTGCGACACCCGTACACTACGGGGATGAGTCCGTAGTGCCCCTGAGGGAAATTTTATGTAATACACCCATAACCCTAACTTTTTTTTTTTTTTTTCGACGGGAATGTGCTCAACACATACTCCACCTCGGGGGAGAGGCTTCGTTATGTGGGGATGGGCGAGGACAGAAGGTCCTAACCCGACCCACTAAACCCGTCGTGTGGCGACCTAACCTTTAAGGAGATTGCCTGGGAACCGCTATTGCATTACTACCAGGCAATCCCCAAGGAGCGTTTATAAACGCACTGAATTTAAGTTAACATGGACCAACTATTTGGATGAGATCTGTGCCACGTGCAATACAAATCCATCCAGCCCACGTTAAAGGCAGCGTGCAATGGCATGTAGATACCCCATTTACAATGCCTGCTGTTCTTTAATGTGGGGTATCGCGATAAACTGAACCGAGTGTTCAACAACAAAAAGATTGACTAACACACCCAAAATGGCATGTCAGCCTCAACTAATCAGAGGTGGGTGAGGGGAGAGCAGCCTGCAAACTCCTCTCATCCTCCTCCTTACCACTCATAATAGTGTGAACAAAAACACTAAAGGCAGTCCACTTGTCCTCAGACACAACTATCTCTTTAATAATGTTCATTAAATTTAATAAATCACTGTCAATGTCCAAAGCACTCACCAGTCTACGACGTTCTATAAACCACTCACTACAGAAGATCAATGTATGCTCACACGTATCATCACGACTGGCACACTGCTGACACATCGGTGACCATCGTTTTTGCATTCTATGGAGATAATGGCCGAAACAGCCATGTCCCGACAATATCTGCGTGAGATGAAAATCCACACATCCAAACTTCCTCTGACACCATTGATTCAGAACCGGTCTCAAGGCCATCCTGGTTAGTTCTCCCGGTGCTCCTTGACGTCTAGCAGATATTTCCCACTGTCTCATTATTATAACTTTTTCCTCTTGTTTAATTTCTGCAACGTAATGTGGTTGCCAATCCAGGCCGTCTCTCATCTCCAAAACGCGGTGATAGACCCTTTTTTGACAAGACGCAGTCAAGGGCCATGGAGGCATACCGGCAATCAAGCATGCCGCCTCAAAAGATATTGTACGGTACCCCGATATAACGCGTATAGCTATTCTGCGTTGCAGGGCCCGCAGCAGCCTAACCTCCTTGTATGGCGCGAGTACGTATCTATCCGCCCAAACTGGGGCCGCATACATAACTATAGATGTAATCACGCCAGCATATAGGTGTCTCTTCCTAGACACTGGCCCCCTTAAGTTTGGCATTAACCTTGACAGTGACCTAACAACCTTGGATGTTTTCTGTTCTATATATCGAAAATGCTCTCCAAAAGTCCACCTATTATCGACCATGACTCCGAGATATTTCATGGAGGATTTTGTTTCGATCTCAGAACTCCCACATGTGATCACCGACCTGTCACGCGATCTTCCATAAGAGAAGAGTATTGCCTTTTACAGTCTTTTCCTCCGCAACATCAAGCTGTATAAGTCGGATGTAACGGAGAACTCTGGCCAACTGGATGTCCATCTTAAGAGTTGCTTCAGGGATAATAGCAGCAGAAGATATAATAAGAGTGTCATCAGCATAACATATGACACGACAACCTGGTTCCATATTGAGACGCAAAACATTGTCGTAAGCCAAATTCCACAGAAGAGGACCCAAAACAGATCCCTGTGGCACTCCAGAGCACACTTCTCTCTTGCACAAGCAGCCATTTACATCCTGATACGTAATGCATCTGTTACTTAAGTAGCTATCAATAATTTTATATAGATAGACCGGAATTTTGCGCTCAACTAACGCACTCCTAATAACTCCCCAGGGAACCAAGTTAAAGGTGTTCTTGATGTCCAAGCTGACTGCAATCGCCACACTGCCCTTCTCCAACGCAGATGTAGTGAACGTCCTGAAATCCATAAGTACGTCAACGGTAGATTTATTACGCCGAAATCCATACTGTTGGGGAGACAAATCATAAACAGGATTTTCCCCCAACCAGTACTGGATCCTATCAGCAATGATTCGCTCAAGTGTCTTCCCTAGCTCATCAAGGAGACAAATAGATCTAGCCTTGATAGGTGCGTTCGGGGTCATGACGCCTTTGGGAATGAGTACAAGGCTTGCAGTTTTCCATTTTAATGGAAAAACACCCATTTTCATACACCGAGTATAACAGACTGTCAGAATACGCACAAATGACCACGAGACAACTTTAAGGGCCGTAGACTTTATACCATCCGGACCCGGAGCAACATTACGCGCCAGCCTCTTTTTCAGGTAGCCATGGACCTCGCCAGGAGTTATGTCCCATTCCTCACTCCATATAACATCCGGAGCAGAGTAATTAAAAGTAATCTTGTTTACCGGGAACAGAGTCTTAAGAAGATCTACCAATTCAAAACTAGAGATGGATGAGACTAGATTGCTACTAGATCTACGCAGCTTATTCAGAACCAATTTATATGGTAGCCCTCAAGGGTCCGAATTGAGGATACCAATTAGCTCTTTCCATGCCAAATTTTTGGATCTATTAATGGCATCTCAGAGATTTTTCCTAGATAGCTTATACTTATCAGCAGCATTTTTAATAAAGTCATCATTATTCTTTTTCCTCCTAGCTCTGGTGAGAACACGTCTGTCATTAATTGTTGCTCTTCGAAGGTTGTTGATTTCATCCGACCACCAATAGCAGCTCTTCTTCTTGGATTTTTTCAGACACGGTGTAGATACATCGCACGCATCAGAAACAGCTCGATCAATCCAATCCACAATAGCATCAGCTGAGTCCTCTTCCAAAACAGATGTTGCGTTGAAACTGCAGTACCATTCCATGCACTCGATGAACAATGGCTTGTCCATTTTTTTAAAATTCCAGCCAACAGGAGACACAGTTCTAGATGCTGACCCATTATGGATCTTATTCAGGTAAGTAAAAGTGATATACATATGGTCGGATAAAGTCTCCATATCACTCATTACTCGCCAATCATCTATATCCTTAAACATACTATGCGAGGCCCATGTGAGATCCACAACTGATTCACCTTGCGGACGAACGCAAGTCGGCGAATCACCTACATTAACCAAGAACAAACCGTTTGATGATGTTACAAGGTTGACCAGTGTACCCCTTCTATCGGTGGTTTTGGATCCCCAAAGATACGACCTAGCATTGAAGTCTCCACAAACAAGGACTTTTTTGTAACGTAATCGTTTGATGGTATCATCCAGATTATCAATGAAATCACCAAAGACATCTCTCGAGCTATTAGGTGATATATAGCAAGACACAATATAAAAATCATTATATTCCACAACGACAATATTTTCGAGGGCTACAAATAGTCTGCTTCTAATACTAGTGTCAGGAAACAGCATCACAGCAGCCAGTGCATCCTTACTATAAAAGCAATTTGCAAGTATATTAGTTCCAACAGGAGGCTCCGAAATAGCCACTAGATCAATATTTAGCTCAATGCACTGCTGGCGTAGCAAATCAAATGCCAGCCAGGACCTATTAAGGTTACATTGCAGAATTTTAGTGGCCATAATTATGAGACTGCTCGGATTGTCCACGATCCACCCGTCTCACAGATTCGTAGCCATTGTTTATGAGGCAAGCATATGATCCCATACGGTGACTGCTAGTTTTCCCTGCAGATGAACAGATGACGCAGTGTGGGGCAGCAGAACACTCCTTAGCCTTGTGCTCATTGCTACCACATTTAAAACAACAACCGTATCTATCCTCCGAGGCAGCACAATTGGACCTGACGTGCCCAAATTGCCAACACTTGTAACACTGAACAGGGCGCTTTCTCAATAGTTCAATTTTCGCAAAAGTCCATCCAATGCGCAATCGGCCAGTTTCCGCAATAGGAATTGCCGCGTTTAGGGGGCACTGAACCCACGCAATTCCCATACCATCCCGCATCTTTTTAATGTCACTTATATTAAAAGCCATTGATGTAAAACCACTAATTTGAACCAGGTGATCCCTAATCTCCTCCGTGGAAGTAGAAGGAGCGAGACCAGAAATTTTCAGTTCTCCTCGCGCAACAGGATTATCCACCTTGGCCACATCGCGTAGCACAACCTCTAATCTGTCTTTGAGCTTACCAGCCAATTCAAGGCCTCCTTCACCAGGGACCTCGATCTTATATCCGCCATTAAAGGCTTTACGGATCCTGGTTTTGCTAATTCCCAGGCCTTCAAGAGACACATTCTGCCTTGCGGCTTTAAGAATATCCGCACATGAGGTATCTACACCAGGCTTACAAGTAATGGTGACAACGGCCACCTTACGCTTACCTACTTTAGGTTTATTAACACTAACCTTACTACTTTTGTTAATAGGTCAAATCCCGGATGTGCCATCGTGAGATCCACCAGAACTCTGACGTATCACAGAAGAAGGAGAAGGAAGAGAAGGAAAATCCTCCTCTTTCCTAGCCATCGACATCCTTGGAGTGGGTTGACTCCTTATCTTCCTCGGCGGGACAACCTGCTTGTTCTCAATTATCTTAATACCCTTGAGTCTCGGGTTACTCATAGGGGGGTGAAAAATCTTGTCGTCCTCAATTGCTCTTTTATCAACACCTGTATTACGAAAAACCCTAGATGTAATGTAAGTCTTTTCACATAGGTTAGCAGATCTGGGCGGGCTCCAGGCCGACCCAGCCGACTCCAAGGCCCATTCCATAGCATCACGAACAATCTTGGATTCATCATCACGAGAAGTAGCAGGGGACTGAGCAACCATACTGGATTCATCATCACTCTAATCCGTGGTAAGTATCTTATTTCTATCTACTTTTTTAGATCTCAATATATCCTCACCTCTATTTTTACTCTTAAGCAAATTTACTTCTTTTTTAAGTTCATCAATCATATCTCTATGTTGTTTTAATTGCATCTTTATTTCTTCTTCGCGTCTACAGGATTCTGTTATTTCTTCCATTAATTCTTCATTTTTACAACGCAGATGGGCTACATCGCCCTGAGCCTGTATCTTATGACCATATGCCCTGACAACATCCTCCAGCTGCATCATGTATTTTCGCCATAAGCCGTTAAACTTACCGGAAACGTTCGTACTATTTACTCGCAGGCTATCTGTTTTGCTGATCAAGGACAGACCATACGACGCCACCTGTCCATTACTCATAGCAACTAAATCTCTTACCTTTATCCTAATGGAAACATCTGAATCACATGTAAACATGGAATCAGACGCATCCAAGTCAACGTTCGGACTTTTTTCTTTACTTGACCTTAACCTAGCAGTCAAAGTACTTTTCTTTTTGTTCTTGGTTAGTTTCCTGGGCACATCAGTTCCTTCACCAGCAGATATATCCAATGCCGCCACAACATCATTATCATCATCAGATATAATCACAGGGCTCGACTCAAGTATAATTTCCTTGTCACCCGCTGCAGCAATTCTTTTACTTCGCCTCCTAGCCTTGATATTGCTCCTCCTCTTTCGTAAAACTCTATCCTCATCATCAGCATCTTCATCCGCATCCTTGCTAGTAGAGGGTACAGCATGATCATCCTCTTTTTCATTTGAATCCTGTTCAGAACTATCAATCAGTCTGATTTTACGAATCCTTTTATCAGTTGTAATTGTGTCATCTTCCGGCGATCCATCAGCCTTTCGCTTAGAGACAGTATATTCAGCTGACGCAACACAATTATCTGCCTCAATAGAGGGTGATTTAAACTTGTCACCAACAATTTCTAATGACTCACTTCTAGCAACGTTCAAAGGATCGCTATTTGGATCGTCACACTCAGGAGGGTCGCATGGGGCATCAACATCCGCCATAACAACCTCCATGTGTTCATAGTTGACTTCACCAGGAAGATTATCTAAATCCGTGGTCGCTATATCAACCTGCTCGCCCAACGGCAACGAGCAGGCCAGCCCCTTGTTTGATGACGACAAGGCGGAGCCGGGGACAACAACTCCGCCATGCCGATCGCTGGAGGCTCCGACAACCTCCTGCGACAGTAAGTTCATTTCATTTACCGTTGT